GCGGTGTGAGCAGCACCAGCATGGTGTCCGCTCCGGGAGGCCAGATGCTGTCGTCCCCCCGCTCATGTCGCCATGCTCAGTGGTGCCGCGCCCTGTGGGGACATCCTCCGTGAGCAGGACGGCCCACCCTCTGGGCAGGCTTCTAGGTGACCAGCCAGTGGTCTGTGTTTGTAGCGTTGGGAGTGTGGCCAGCTCGGGGCTGCACAGGTCCTCTCTCAGCCCAGTTCCCTCGTCCCCATTTACTTTTTAAAAACGATTCATTTTGTGAACGAACGATACAGAACAGTAAGAACAGAGGCTCAGTGAAAGGGTTTATAGAATTCTGGTTCCGTCATGTTTTCCTGGTTGGAAGGTATGTTTACCCAAAGGGACAGCGCCTGCAGGTGTGGTGACTGCTCACCTCACACGAGCACCAGAGCTCAGTCTTTGGTGTGGAGGCCGGGCACACAGCGGCCTCAGTGCGTGTCCCAGGGCCTCCCCTGCGTCCCCAGAGCCCTCCGTCTGGGAGAAACAGTGACAGCCCTGGGAAACATCTTCACTTTTTGGGGTGAGGTTTCTGCAGCAACTGGGATGGTCAGTAAGTGTCTTCCATCTCAGCGCTCCTCTTCCAGCCGCTGTGTGCCCTGGCTCCTAGGAGCTGCGCTGACCAGTCTGTGCGCAAACCTCGTAGGAGGAGAAAGAGGCCGTCACAGGTCCTTCTAGCAGCACGGGCTTCGGAGATTCTTGTTGCAGAACACTGTGTAGATGGCTCCTATTGAAGGACACACTGGATGAGGTTGCAGTTCCTTTTTCCCTGAGGGTATATCGTTCATGTACTGATTCTGGAGAAAATCCATCCAGGACGTCGTTGCCTGGAGACTGAGGGCTCAGTCACGTTCCCTCCACGCCTGCTCCTGCCTGCAGCTGGGAAAGGCGCCTCGGGCCGCGCTCTTCTCCGCGATGGAAACTTAGGAATAAAGTGTCCAGGTGCCTCTCATTCCCCTTGGAAGTCAGCGGGCCGGTTGGCCCGCCCAGTGAGCAGGTGCTGCAGCGGCTGCTTCCCTCGCTGTGCCATCCCCTGGCCGTGCCCCGCCCCTCCTTTTCCTTTCTCTTAGTCTCCTCTCAGGTAGGCATCCTCGGTGAAGAATGACATCATTCCTGCAGTGAGGAAATAGCCAAATGCTTCAGGATAGAACAGTGATGGCGAACCTATGACACGCGTGTCAGAGGTGACACGCGAACTCATTTTTTTGGTTGATTTTTCTTTGTTAAATGGCATTTAAATATATAAAATAAATATCAAAAATATAAGTCTTTGTTTTACTATGGTTGCAAATATCAAAAAATTTCTATATGTGACACGGCACCAGAGTTAAGTTAGGGTTTTTCAAAATGCTGACACGCCGAGCTCAAAAGGTTCGCCATCACTGGGATAGAAGGAAGTAAGATAACTGTGACCGTACAGTGCCGCTTAGCTTTGTAAGAGTCTAGTGGCCTAAATAGAAATTACATGATGGCCCTAGTTGGTTTGGCTCAGTGGCTAGAGCGTCAGCCTACGGACTGAAGGGTCCCGGGTTTGATTCCAGGTCAGGGCACATGCCCAGGTTGTAGGCTCGATTCCCCGGTAAGGGGTGTGTAGGAGGTAGCGATCAATTATTCTCTCTCATCGTTGATCTTTCTCTCTCTTCCTCTCCCTTCCTCTTTGAAATCAATTTAAAAAATTACATTATAGGATCCATTTTACTCTTTCAAAAAATTAGTGAATTTTTAGAAGATCTCTAAGGAAGAATAAAGGCCATAAAATATTGAAAATAAAATTGGCTGTGATGGACTTTGATAATACCTGAGTGTTAATCTTTAAATATGATAAACGTTTAAAGTTAGAAACAGATGAATTTATTATTTGTTAGCGCTAATTTTGTGAAGTTAGTAGTTTAAAATGTATCTCTCACATTTGAACCAACGCACACAGGACCCCCTCTGGAAGGTGCGCCGCAGTCAGAAGCTGGACATGTCCGCGCGGCTGGAGCTGCAGTCGGCGCTGGAGGCCGAGATCCGGGCCAAGCAGCTGGTTCAGGAGGAGCTGAGGAAGGCCAAGGACTCGAACCTCTCCTTTGAAAGGTGCTTGTCCTCCCGTGTGGGCCCTGGGGCACGCCTGCCGTCCCAGGATGGGGCTGAGGTGTGGGCGGGTGTCACCACTACACAGGTGCGGAGCCAGGATTCAATGGCAGGTCCCCCCGTGCTGGACTGGCCTGCTCGCCGCCTCACCAGATGTTGGCTGTAGCAGCTGGCTGCTCTGTCCCCCGACAAAAGCCTAGGAACCCCAAGACCTTGCGCTCAGGGAGGTGGTAGCCACCATCTTGCCGGTTAGGGGAAAGACACCGGTGTAAGGTCTGAGAGCCCTGGGCTGTGTGTCCTCAGAGGGCACAGGGTGGTCCAGAGAGAGAGCAATGTCCAACACGCCGCGGGCTCCACACTGGTTTTGCCATCCGTGTTTGTGCTGCGGAACCACTGGTACCATCCAGACGCGCTAGGGGAGGCCGGCCCGTCACGCGTGTGTCCGTCCACATGTGTGTGGAGCCCGGGCGCGGCCCGGCACTTTCCTGGGGACAGCCCCGCCCCGCCTTCCGCTCAGCCGCTCGCAGATGGCCTGGCTCTGCACCTAACGCCGCCTATTTCTCCTTTTAGTAAACTAAAGGACTCGGAAGCCAAAAATAAAGAATTATTAGAAGAAATGGAAATTTTGAAGAAGAAGATGGAAGAAAAATTTAGAGCAGATACCGGTAAATTAAAATTACAAGTTTTTACATTTTTAAAGTATAAGCCTTTTTTAATGAAATGGTTTTGTTTTAGATTTAACTTCTTTTAGGTTTAATAGCTTTTAGTTATGTGAAGAGAGCACTTAGTCATTCCAAAGCCAAAACTCTGAAATAGGTGCGTTCCAGTGATTCGCTCCCTGGAGTCACCCGCAGGTCTGGGTGGTCCTTCCTGTGTTCGATCTTGAAAGAAATGAGTGTAGTTAGACGTCACATCCCATGACAAGGGACCGCTCTGTGCCCCTGTGGCCGGGTGTCTGCCACTCTGGCCTCGCTGTCCTGGAACCCGCTGCCGGGTGTGGACCCGCGTACAGCATTTCCCATTCCCGTCACTGTTTTGGGCGAGATGTCCAGCGTGAACTGCCGGTCCAAGGGTCAGCGTGCACACCTTGCAGGTGCTGCCGCTGCTGCAGGCGCCGGGACGTCTGTGCCCGCCACGGGTCGGGCGGGTCCCCGTCACACCCAGGTGAGGTCACCCTGGTCGGTGCGAAGCAGCATCGCAGCGGAGCCGGGTTTGCGTTTTCTTATTCTGAGCAGGACGTGGGCTGGCGGTGGTTCTTCCTCTGTGGTTTATACAGTTGTATCCTTGGCCCATTTTAGAAATAGAAGCTGTGCAGTCTTTTTCTTACTTCTCCAAAGCTTTCTGGGTATTTGGGATTAGAGGCTTTTGTTTGTGACTGAAGTTGCAAGTATTTTTTCTCGGCTGTCTTTTACTTATTTTTTTTTTTATTTTTAAGCCGGGGATAGGGTTTTAAATGGTGTGTGTGTCTGATCGGTGTCTCCCCTTGGAGGCAGAGAGAGAGACTCCTGCGCCCAGTTGTCCGGGGAGTGCGCCCGTGCTCTCCTCTGGCGCGTGCAGGGTCGCTGTTCAGTGGCTCACCGCCCGCTTGGAGTTTGTGAGGATGTGCAGTCCGGGGGGACCCATTCTAGCTTTTTCCCGTGGCCCATTAGTTGTTCACCAGTTAAGTTCCCATCCCTGCTGACTTCCTGTTACTCTGCTCATGTGTGAGATTGCCCTGGGCACCTGCTCCGAGCCGGGATTTTCTCCCCTGTTGGTCATTCCTGGGCCAGACCTCTCGTGGGTCCGTTTTCACAGCTGGTGGGTCTCCTCCCGCCCCTTTCTTTAGAGACTCCGAGGTGTCCGCCCTCTCCCTCCGCCTCCCCCTCCCCCTCCCCCTCTCCCAGGTGAGCTTGCATTCCCGTCCCGGCTGGGGAAAGTCACGGCGTTGGCGTGGCACCACGTCAGGTTTATCGGTTAACTGGGGAGCGCCGGCGTCCGCCGACATGGAGCCTTCCCGTCTCAGCATAAGATTGTCTTACGTTTTCACCGTGACCGTCTCTGTCTTGCAGGACTCAAACTTCCAGATTTTCAGGATTCTATTTTTGAGTATTTCAACACTGCACCGCTTGCACATGACCTGACCTTCAGAGTGAGTAACTGTTTTACAAGCGAAAAGCGCATTTATGATGGGTTAGAAATAGTGCACTGTGACCTGACTCCTGTGGGGCCAGAACACACCAGCCAAGTACCATCTGACGCTGACCTGTCCTCCACCCAGGATGTGAAGTGTGTAGGTTATAGACGTGTAAGGACTTGCGATGTTTCCAGAGAAGTTTCCAGAATTCGTGAGAGCTGCTAAGAAACCGCTCTGTGTCTTGAGGGCAGAGGTTGCCTGGGCCTCTGCCTGTGTGCTCCAGGCAGCTGTTAAAGCACAGCCTCGCACTGCAGTCAGGGAAGAGCAAGCAGACCTTCGGGGGGCGTCCTGGCTCCCCTTCAGGTCTCCCCGACGGATGGAGGCCCCTCGCTGCCGCCGGAGTTGGAGCTGGGGCGGCACCTCCCCGGGGAGCGGCGGTGCTGCCTGTGCAGGAAGCGGCAGAATGCAGGGCGAGCCCCACTTCCCATGCACCGTTTCCCGCGCCTCGGGCGCCACGTCTTCCCCTTTTCAAGAGAGTAGGCTGAACCCTTCCTAGCAGCCTCTGGAAGCCAGAAAGGGAAAAGCGGGAAAGCAGGTCTCATTCACGGGGCCTGTGAGGCGTGTGCTGGATTTCCCGCCTTTATTTAGAAATGTTTACACCTGCAGCGGAGGTGGAAGAGCCTGCAGTGAGCACACGCATCTGACCCGGTGCGTCTCACCCGGCGTCATGCCCCTGTGCGGCTCCTCCCTCCCCGTGCAGCACACTCCCCCCAACTATTGAAAATGCGTTGTAGGCATCAGCGACCCTGGGCTACTCCAGAGTTCATGTCCTGAGTCAGGCCATCCTCCCGCATAACCGCAGCTAACCGCGATGTCGCTGTCGTGTGGACGAGGTGGCCCTCGTAACCGCGATGTCGCTGTCGGGTGGACGAGGTGGCCCTCGTAACCGCGATGTCGCTGTCGGGTGGACGAGGTGGCCCTCGTAACCGCGATGTCGCTGTCGGGTGGACGAGGTGGCCCTCGTAACCGCGATGTCGCTGTCGGGTGGACGAGGTGGCCCTCGTAACCGCGATGTCGCTGTCGGGTGGACGAGGTGGCCCTCGTAACCGCGATGTCGCTGTCGGGTGGACGAGGTGGCCCTCGTAACCGCGATGTCGCTGTCGGGTGGACGAGGTGGCCCTCGTAACCGCGATGTCGCTGTCGGGTGGACGAGGTGGCCCTCGTAACCGCGATGTCGCTGTCGGGTGGACGAGGTGGCCCTCGTAACCGCGATGTCGCTGTCGGGTGGACGAGGTGGCCCTCGTAACCGCGATGTCGCTGTCGGGTGGACGAGGTGGCCCTCGTAACCGCGATGTCGCTGTCGGGTGGACGAGGTGGCCCTCGTAACCGCGATGTCGCTGTCGGGTGGACGAGGTGGCCCTCGTAACCGCGATGTCGCTGTCGGGTGGACGAGGTGGCCCTCGTAACCGCGATGTCGCTGTCGGGTGGACGAGGTGGCCCTCGTAACCGCGATGTCGCTGTCGGGTGGACGAGGTGGCCCTCGTAACCGCGATGTCGCTGTCGGGTGGACGAGGTGGCCCTCGTAACCGCGATGTCGCTGTCGGGTGGACGAGGTGGCCCTCGTAACCGCGATGTCGCTGTCGGGTGGACGAGGTGGCCCTCGTAACCGCGATGTCGCTGTCGGGTGGACGAGGTGGCCCTCGTAACCGCGATGTCGCTGTCGGGTGGACGAGGTGGCCCTCGTAACCGCGATGTCGCTGTCGGGTGGACGAGGTGGCCCTCGTAACCGCGATGTCGCTGTCGGGTGGACGAGGTGGCCCTCGTAACCGCGATGTCGCTGTCGGGTGGACGAGGTGGCCCTCGTAACCGCGATGTCGCTGTCGGGTGGACGAGGTGGCCCTCGTAACCGCGATGTCGCTGTCGGGTGGACGAGGTGGCCCTCGTAACCGCGATGTCGCTGTCGGGTGGACGAGGTGGCCCTCGTAACCGCGATGTCGCTGTCGTGTGGACGAGGTGGCCCTGAGGCCCTGGTTGCCGGTCCAGGCAGAGCCTGGGAACCGTGCTGAGCTGTCCTGCCCTGCCTCCTGTGCTCTGGAACGGTGCCTCCTTCCCCGTGAGTGGCTGCTTTGCCTGGCCTAGACCAGCAGTGTTGTGAGGCCCAGCCTCTGGGTTTGTCTGATGCTCCCGCTCGTGAGACGTGGGCTGGACATTTTGGCGGGAATTCTGCAGGGGACACGTGCAGGTTCCATGCTCTGCAGAAGCCGTTGGGTTGAGGGGGTGTGCCAGACCTCGCCCGGAAAGGGCCAATGGATGTGCCACCCACAGCAGCCTGGCCAGCGGCCAGCGCTCCCGGCCTGGGTCAGCCTTAGCGAACCCGGCAGGCTTGCTCCTGTCGTCCTGGCACTACCACTGCCGTCGCTTTGGACACGGGCTTTGTCAGGTTGGCGGTTTGTTTTCCCGAAGCCCTCAGTTTGTTTGTAATCCTCACCCCAGGGCGATGTTTTTGTTGTCGTTTACTTTTTTTTTAATAGAGAGTGACAGGAAGGGTGGAGAGAGAAACATTGATGTGAGAGAAAGACATCAATTGGTTGCCTCTCGTATGCACCCCCACCAGGGATTGAATCTGCAACCTGGGTATATGCCCTGATGGGGCGTCAGACCTGCAACTTTTTTTGCTGTACAGGACGACGTTCCAGTCAACTGAGCCACCCACCCGCCAGGGCTTTTTTTTTTTTTAAGAGAGAAACATCGACTTGTTGTTTCACTTATGTACTCCTTCATGGATGTGCCGGGACCTGAGATCAAACCAGCAACTTCGGCGCATTGGGCCAGCGCTCTAACCGCTGAGCCGTGCGGGCCAGGTAGAGGCTGCAGTGCTTAAGAAGCAAACAGATTGCACTGCAGCGGCGCCTCTGCAGCTGGTCACCGTGCCATGAGCCTGCCGCCGCTGCCTGCCTTCCCGCCACTGCAGCGTCGGGCTCCACCGTGACCGCGAGTGCAGCTTCCGAGGACAGAGACTGCAGTTAACGGGCGGAGGTGCCAGGAGGGCCTCTCTCCTGTGGAGTGGGTGGCAGTGGCGTCTCCGGCAGGTGCTTTCCAGCTCGGACCCCCTCATGGGCCGCACTGGCGCATGTCAGCCCGGGGTGGGGCTGGTCTTGGTACCTTGTCCTCGGAGCCGGCACCCTACCCTGCATGTTAGTGCCGTTAACGTCAGCGCTTTGACAGCTGTTCCTGCCTCCGGCTCAGGAGAAAGGACAGTCACTTCCGGGAAAAGCCTTGGTTGGAGTCTGGGTCTGCTGGGAGGTGGGCCCACACCGGGAATGGTCTCCTAGAACCTGTCTCTCTCCCCACATGAAACACGCTGTTGAGGACTGGGAATGATGGAGTCCAGTTTCCATGCAAGTTCTTATTGGGTGGGAGTGATTGTTCTGTCCTCCTGTCTGCCCCTCCTCCACGTCCTCGCTGCCTCACTGGTGCCAGGGCAGCCTGGCACACGTCCACACGATACCTCGTCCACAGGACAGTGACATCGCGGCTGCGTGGGCCACCTCCTCCCTCAGCGTGCACCTTTCTGATCAGTTCACAACTGCGTGGTGAACATTAATATTCGCTTGCTCCTCATTTTTCTAAAACTGTGGCTCTAACTTCTTTAACATTCCTGTTATGGGAGAAACATGCTTACATCTGCAGCCTTGATCGCCAGCTCTCCCCTGGGAAGTTCTGTACGCACGCAGGACGGCCGCGGGGCTGCATGGGGGCTGCGCGCGCTCCTGGTGCCCGAGGGCTCCTCAGGCAGCCCACTGACTGCGGCTGCTGTAGGGCTTCCCGGTCGGCTCCGTCCGCTGGAGCACCAGGCGCAGCTGTGGGCGCTCCTGTGGGCGCCTCCCGGCGTCTGTCTGGTGCCGTCTCCTTGTGCTCAGGCTGCGCTGCTTCCACACGCACGCACCTGTGGACAGAGGGCGTGACCTTTGATGGGGAAATACTAGTTTCAGGAACGCTCGTTACAACCTAAAGATGGTCTTAGAATGCAGCTTTAGCTTCAAATTGGCTTCAAAGCTTTAGCTCCAATTTCAAATAGAAATTAATTTGGGAATCTTGAGTTGTCAGAACAAAACAATGCTTCCCTGTGTATCAAACTTTCAGGGAAATTCTCCCTTCTGGTCAGAGGCCCACAGGCCTCTGTTGTCCCTGAGATGAGGTTAAGAAGCACTGGGCTCCGGCTGGAAGGTACAGAGAGTCACGTCCGTTAGAGGGCTGGCGTTTCCCGGCGCCTCCCCTTCCAGGGTGGCTTCTGCCTTGGCTGGTGACGGTGCCTCGTCAGGGTCCCGGCCGGAGGTCACTCTGCAGCCTCGGCATGCAGGGAAGGGTGAGGGGTGACGACACGGTGCCCCGGGAACAAGACCTGTGCTGGACCTCAGCTCCCCAGTGGGAGGCACTTTTTATTACTTTTTATTTTGGGGGGATGCACTTTTTAAATAGAGAACACGTAGTAGAGTCTGAATTCTGCAGAGTGAGTTCTTTCATTCTCACAATTTCTTTGCCTTTTCCCCACAGACCAGCTCAGCTAGTGAGCAAGAAACACAAGCTCCAAAGCCGGAAGTGTCCCCGTCCACGTCCATGGCTGCAAGCACAGAGCAGCAGGAGGTAAGACTGCCCCGGACCGTGACCCTCAGTCTGCCCCCTCGGCCCCGCGTCCACCTTGACGGTGCCTCGTCAGGGTCCCGGCCGGAGGTCACTCTGCAGCCTCGGCATGCAGGGAAGGGTGAGGGGTGACGACACGGTGCCCCGGGAACAAGACCTGTGCTGGACCTCAGCTCCCCAGTGGGAGGCACTTTTTATTACTTTTTATTTTGGGGGGATGCACTTTTTAAATAGAGAACACGTAGTAGAGTCTGAATTCTGCAGAGTGAGTTCTTTCATTCTCACAATTTCTTTGCCTTTTCCCCACAGACCAGCTCAGCTAGTGAGCAAGAAACACAAGCTCCAAAGCCGGAAGTGTCCCCGTCCACGTCCATGGCTGCAAGCACAGAGCAGCAGGAGGTAAGACTGCCCCGGACCGTGACCCTCAGTCTGCCCCCTCGGCCCCGCGTCCACCTGCTGCTGGAGGCCGAGGCCGGTGCGCTCGGTCCTGCCCGCAGCGCCAGCTCTGAGCCCGACTTGCATTTCAGAGCTGCCGTCGGCGCATCGGCTCGATGAGGCGTGCTTTGACAGGTGTCTCCACAATGTCTCGAATTAAAAATGCAGAACTGTTCATTATTGATCAGCTCCAGGGGGAAGGGATCCACGCAGGGTCTGGCTAGAGCAGCGCTGAGCTAGCACGGCGCTCACCTGTCCCGCTTGTCTCCCAGGACATGGCTCGGGCCCCGCA